TGACGCCTGTGACACCTGACACACCTGTTACACCTGTCACACCTGTGACACCTGTGACACCTGTGACACCTGACACACCTGTGACACCTGTGACACCTGTCACCCCTGTGACACCTGTCACACCTGTGACACCTGACACACCTGTGACACCTACACCTGTGACACCTGTGACACCTGTGACACCTGTGACACCTGACACACCTACACCTGTCACCGCTGTCACATCCCTGCCTTGCACCTGGACATTGGGGACCTCTGGGGCCACTGGAACCACCTGGAGCTGGACACCTGTGACCCCTGATACACCTGTGACACCTGACACACCTGTCACACCTACACCTGTCACCCCTGTGACACCTGTCACACCTGTCACACGTGTCATACCTGTCACGCCCATCACACCTGTGACCCCTGTGATCCCTGTCACACCTGTCACACCTACACCTGTCACCCCTGTGACCCCTGTGACACCTGACACACCTGTGACACCTGTCACACCTGTGACACCTGTCACCCCTGACACACCTGTCACCCCTGTGACACCTGACACACCTGTGACACCTGAGACCCCTGTCACACCTGTGACACCTGTCACCCCTGTCACACCTGTCACCCCTGTCACACCTGTCACCCCTGTCACCGCTGTCACCTCCGCCACCTGCAGCCGCACCCCCGTCCCCGCCCCCTCCCTCCCGCTCCCCGGCACCACCAGGACGCTCTGCCAGCCGCACTGGCCCCTCCCCACCTGCGCCAGGTGCGCGGGGGCGGGGCCGGCCAGCAGCAGCACCTTGCGCTGCCCGGGGCTCCCGGGCAGGATCCGCAGCCCCTGCGGCGCCGGCAGCACCAGGTACGCCGCGGCCGGCGCAGGTGAGGCGGCGCCGCCGGCGTCAGCTCCGGGTGCGCGGCCGTGCGTGCGCAGGTGCCGCCGCAGGTAAGCGGCCACGGCGAAAGCTTTGGGGCAGGCGGGGCAGCGGAAGGGCCGCGCCGCCGAGTGCGTGCGCCGGTGCAGGTGCAGGTTGGACGAGTGCGTGAAGCTCTTGCCGCAGGTGCCGCAGGTGTACGGCCGCTCCCCCGTGTGCACCCGCAGGTGCTGCCGCAGGTTGGCCGCCTGCGCGAAGCCCTTCCCGCAGGTGCCGCAGGTGTGCGGGCGCTCGCCCGTGTGGGTGTGGCGGTGCCGCCGCAGGCTGGACGAGTTCTTGAAGGCCTTGGGACAGGTGGGGCAGCGGTAGGGCCGCTCACCTGAGTGCTGCCGCAGGTGGTACTGGTAATGCGACGCCCACTTGAAGGTGAGGCCGCACTGGGCGCACCTGAAGGCGCGCAGCCCCGTGTGCACGCGCAGGTGAGTCTGCAGCAGCGAGGAGCGCTTGAAGCTCTTGCCGCAGGTGGCGCAGGTGTAGGGCCGCTCACCGGTGTGGTCGCGCAGGTGGTAGCGCAGCCCCGAGGAGCCCTTGAAGGCTTTGCCGCACTCGCCGCACCTGTACGGCCGCTCGGGCGGCGCGGCGGCGGCGGCGGCGGCCTCACCTGGCGGGGGCGGGGCTCCGGGGGCCGCGGCCGCGCACCTGAGCCGCTCGTGGCCGGGCAGGTGCCGCGCCAGCCCCGAGCCGTTCTTGAAGCTCTTGCCGCAGGTGAGGCAGCGGTGGGGCGCGGCCGCCGGCACCTCTTGCTCGGCGCAGGTGACCCCCAGCGGCCTCCAGAGCGGCTCAGGTGAGGCGGCGGCGGCGGCGGCGGGGTCGGCGTCCCGCAGGTGCCGCCGCGGGCTCCAGGTGCGCGAGGGCGCGGCGCAGGCGGGGCACTGCGGGGCGGGGCCGTGCGTGCGCCGGTGCAGGTGCAGGTTGGACGAGTGCGTGAAGCTCTTGCCGCAGGTGCCGCAGGTGTACGGCCGCTCCCCCGTGTGCACCCGCAGGTGCTGCCGCAGGTTGGCCGCCTGCGCGAAGCCCTTCCCGCAGGTGCCGCAGGTGTGCGGGCGCTCGCCCGTGTGGGTGTGGCGGTGCCGCCGCAGGCTGGACGAGTTCTTGAAGGCCTTGGGACAGGTGGGGCAGCGGTAGGGCCGCTCACCTGAGTGCTGCCGCAGGTGGTACTGGTAATGCGACGCCCACTTGAAGGTGAGGCCGCACTGGGCGCACCTGAAGGCGCGCAGCCCCGTGTGCACGCGCAGGTGAGTCTGCAGCAGCGAGGAGCGCTTGAAGCTCTTGCCGCAGGTGGAGCAGGTGTAGGGCCGCTCACCTGTGTGGCCCCGCAGGTGGTAGAGGAGGGCGGAGGAGCCCTTGAAGGCTTTGGGGCACTCGGGGCATTTGTAGGGTCGCTCACCTGTGTGGCTGCGCAGGTGATGCGCCAGGCGCGAGGACCAGCGGAAGGATTTGCCGCATTCCCGGCAGGTGAACGGGTGCTCGGGGGCACCTGCGGGGGGCGCCGCGCCCGCCATGGCCACACCTGAGGGGGACACGAGCACAGGTGAGACCTCAAACCTGGGACAGGTGAGAGCCCAGATATGGAACACGGGGGACAGGTGAGAGCCCGAAATGAGACACAGAGTCAGGTGAGAGCCCAGACCTGAGACAGGTGAGAGCCCAGAGCTGGCACAGACAAAAGCTCAGACTGAAACATGGGCAGCAGGTGAGAGTCCAGGTGGGAGACGCAAGGTCAGGTGAGACCCCAGACCCAAAACGGGGCCAGGTGAGAGCCCAGACCCAGCACTGCAGGGACCTGGGGACAGGTGAGACCTCAGACATAAAACATGGGGACAGGTGAGACCCCAAACCCAACACATGGGGACAGGTGAGACCCCAAACCCCACACGGGGGGGCCAGGTGAGAGCCCAGACCCGACATGGGGGGGCCAGGTGAGACCCCAGACCCGACATGGGGGGGCCACGTGAGACCCCAGACCCGACATGGGGGGGCCAGGTGAGAGCCCAGACCCAGCACTGCAGGGACCTGGGGACAGGTGAGACCTCAGACATAAAACATGGGGCCAGGTGAGACCCCAAACCCGACGTGGGGGGGCCAGGTGAGACCCCAAACCCGACACGAGAGTGGCAAAATGGGGGCGTGGCCAGGCCGCAATAAGCCGCGCCCCTCCACACAGGCCCCGCCCTTCACCGCCCTCAGGCCCCGCCCCTTTCCCCCTCAGCCCCTGCAGGCCCCACCTCCTCCAGGCCCGCCCCGCGCAGGCGCCGCCGCCGCGGCCCCGCCGCCTCCT